TCTCTTAGTATTTTGAAACATGTATTCTGGATAATAAAAGACAATACACAGATATTGGAATGCTTAGAATTTTTAAATTCTTCAAGTTCAGACTTTTCTGATGTGACATATGATTTTACTAAATTGTATACCAAATTAAAGTTAAGATATTAATTAAATTCTTTAATAGCTTAATGGATGAATTGATAATATAGATATTTCTAAATATAAATTTTCAAGTTTACAGTGTAAAATCTTTCTGAATTTTTGTATATTTAATAATTATATAACCTTTAATGATAAGATATTTAAACAGATAGTAGGCATCCCTATGGGGGCTAATTTATCTTCAAATACGTCTAACTTGTATCTTTATTTTCATGAAAATAGATTTATGAACAAAATAAAAAATCCTAAGAAATATATATTTACTTTCCATTATATTGACGATTTATTATCGATTAATAATCCAGAGTTTGAACCATCTGAAATTAATCCTAAACTCGAATTAGAACGTAGTAATAGGAATAGTTGCATACCACACTCTTTAGATATATACATGGCCAGGTGGTTAGGGCACTCAACTCGCAATCTGAGGGTCGCGGGTTTGAATCCCCATCAACGAACATGCTCGCCCTTTCAGCCATGGGGGTGTTATAATGTGACGGGCAATCCAACTATTCGTTGGTGAAAGAGTAGCCCAAGAGTTGGCTGTGGGTGGTGATGACTGGCTGCCTTTCCTCTCGTCTTACACTGCTAAATTAGGGACGGCTAGCGTAGATAGCTCTCGTGTAGCTTTGCGCGAAATTCAAAAACAAACAAACAAGATTTGTACATTAACTTGTTAGAAAATAAAGTGCAGTTGGACATATTTGATAAAAGAAGATAATTTAAATGTTCTATCATGGGATTGCCCTCCCCAAATACACTTTTTTTGTATAACGTAGAATTGTTAAATAATAAAATTCTGTTGAATGGTTATAACAATTATGAAATTAGTAAAGTCTTTAAATTATTTTATAATAAATTTCATAAATTATTAGAAAGTAAATCAATTTACAAACAACTTGAGTCAATTATTTCTAACCTGAAATATTAAATTAATGAGAGGTCGCTAGCATATAAAATCTTATTATAAAGATCAGCGTTAAGTTTATAATACTTTCAGTTCTACTCAATACAAAGGGAGGAGGAAGGGGTACTAGAAATATATAGGTGGGTTTATAGTTAGTAGCATTATTAACTGAAATATTATTTGAAGTATTGCTGTTTATACTATACTGAATAGTTATTAATACCTTGCAGTGATAAAGTGTCAATATTACTACTAGAAATATACATTAAGGTTGTATATTTCGGAATTTAATATCATGGAGTAACTATACTAGGAAGAAGGTTGGATGATGTTCTTCGATAGAAATCAAGGGTGGTTTAATATCTGATTTCTATTTTTATGTTTCTTTAGAGATAACTATCATACCCACAACCGGCTTTTGACGGGGAGTGATAGTGGGATCTGGGACGTTGTGAGTTCTAGCACCCAGATCCTAATCCACTCCCCTCCCCATTTTTTTTCGGTTACATGCTGGCTAGCTCTGCGTCTGTTATTGTGATTCTACTTTTGTACAAACAGTGTAATTTTACAATGTTATATTAGAACTTATCGGCGCGTACAACTACATGTACAATAAATAAA